CACTACTCCCTTTAGAAAAAAAAAACTAAGTTGATTAAAACATGGGTGATGTTTTAACAGTTACACCATGCTTTATCTCAACAACCCAGGGAAAGATGACAATTGAGGAATTATTATGCCCATTTCCCAGATGAAAAACAGGAGACCCAGTGACTTGTTTAAGGTCTTGAACAATCAGAAAGTGATAGAGTTTGGGCTTAGAGACATTAGATTCTAAATCAAAGCCTTCCCAATACTTAGGATTACCTCTAACATATCTTCACATAAGATTAAGATAACTGTCAATTTTTTTTCAGCTCTTACAATGGGCCAGGTACTAAAGCCCATGAGGCCTGTGCCATTATTATCCCCACTTTACAGATGAGGAAACTAAGGCCCAAAGAGGCAAAGTGACTTACCCAAAGCCACCTGACTAGCCCGGGTTCCAACCCAAGCAAGTAGCACTTCAGAACATAAGCTCTCAACCACTTTGCCTAATGCCACTTCAGCAAGAGTGGAGTCGCCTGCTTTACACAAGATGGCTTATAGCTGCCCAGACCCACCAGTTCAATAAGGACAGAACTCATATTTAACAACACAAAGTACAAAGGATTATCCAATAATTTTTCATGTTCTGAAATTTGATCATACAAAGATCAACTGCCAGGGCTTAGATAACATCTTATTAAACTCTCCTGAAATTTTTATTGTAACAATAATTGTAACTCAATTTGACCTGTTCTGAAAGACATTCTTGCTTGCTTAGCCAACAGTCATTCCCTGTCCCCCACCACACACACATACACATACACACACACACACACACACACACACACACACACCTCCATTCTTCCCATAATGGCAAAGCCCACATCTCATAATAGAGAGTGAGAAGTGAAGACACCAGCTGCCTGCATTCCTTGACTTTTTGCAGCTAGGGAGGGCATGGGTATATGTCGGCATCCTGGCCAATGGGATCTGATGAGAAGACATATGGCGCCTCTAGAAAAGGTGTTTTTCCATGATAAAAAAAATGCATGAGGAAATACCACCTTTTATATGGTGGGTTGGCAGTGCCTGACTGACATCCAGAATTAGCACAGCCATCTCATCATCATGATGACTATAGTGATGTAGCTGGCATGGAGGATGGCAGAATGGAAAGACAGAAAGCGCCTGGATCCACGCAGAGCTGCTGAACAATCCTGAGGCTGCCCTACCTGTGGACTTCCCCTTAGGTAAGATAAATGTCCTTGTAATTTAAGCCACTTCAGCCTGGCCACTGTCTTACTTGCAGCCAGAAGTATCCTAACTCTCAGGTTTCAAGAGGCAGTGCTATAGAGAAAGAGCTCTGGATTTTTGAGTCAAATGACCTGGGTTCCTTCCAATCCACTTACTTGCCATGTGACCCAAATTGCTTACTCTCTCTGAATCTCATTTTCTGTAAGTTTGAGACAACACTCAAAGATACAACATTAATAAAATGGACATGAAGCAGGATAGTTATGAAAACCACATGAGATAATGTGTATACATCCACTCTGTCAACAGCAGTGTTTTACCCTACGTAATTGGTTTCAGGTAATAATTAAACTATAGACTTTTTTTTCCTTTTTTTACAACATTTCTTTTTTTTTGAATTTTATTATTTTTTTAATTTTGTTTTATTGGTTAAAGTATTACAAAGAGTTAAACTATAGACTTTTAAACTGAAGCCACCCATCTAACCCAGCTCCCTTATTTTACAAAAAGAAACATTGACTCCATATATCAAATGACTCACTCAATGACACAAAACTGGTTGGTAACATAACTATACCACACAGCTCCTGATTCCAAACCCAGTGTTGTCATGCTAGCCTCATGCTGATAGGTAATGAGCTAGATTAAGTATTGGGCACTCATTTATTCAGCAAGTGTTTAGTGAACACATACTATATGTCAAGTACAATCTATGTATTGGGGACTCCTTAATGAACAACCACAAAATGTTCTTATTCTCATGGATTTAATAGTCTAGAAAGGAAAGGATCAAATCTGCATCTAAAAATATTTACTGAAGGACTACTATGTGCTACAAATTATGCTAAGATTTTTATTCAAATACAAATACAAAGTCCCAATAATATCTACTGTGCTTACCAGGCTTTGCTAAAGAACAAATAATGTTAAAAGCCTGCTACATTTTACTCAATAAAAATCAGTATTAAATATAAGTTTATTAGAAGAACTTGTAAATAACCATGCTGGCATCTGAAAACGTGGGTAGGATGGGGAAGATGGCTAGACCGCCCCTCTACTTGAAGCAGCAAGGCTGAGTAGAGGTTAAAACTAAGTCATGTCCTGCTTCAGTCTCCAGACTTCCAGGGTTGGCTCAGTTGGAAAAACCCAGGAGGGAGCACTCAGTGACTCCTCCCCTTCTCCAGGCCTGTCTGGTGCCCTAGACTCCCCTTTGACTCGCTGTCCATTCGGAATTCCTCTTCCACATTACCGAGAAGAAACAGTCACACACAAGTGACACATAGGACAGCATCCCAGGCCCTGTAAAAAGAGACTGAGCAAGTGGCTTTCAGCACCTCCTACTGGAACTGGCTATCAGACTACTGAGACTGATAAGTTATTTGTTTGAAAGTTTTCCTTGTCAAAATATCATGAAAATTACATAATTTGGAAAACAAATATGTAAATGCTGTTGTTTTCCAAAAAAACCCATAACCCACATTTCGCGTAGTTATGAAAGGAGAATGTATGACACTGTTCAGGAGTCCATATACTCTGTTAACTTGGTGATCCCTTGGAACAGAGGGAAAAGGAGGAGGACTAGAGGAAGGAAGGAGGAAGGAAAGACAGATGGCTTCCCCAGGGCATGTACTGGTGACTCCAAAAGATTTTTTTTAAAGCATTTTGTTCTCACTCTAAACAAATGGCAAGTTTTTGTGTGAACTTCTACCCAGAAGTACAATTATAATTCCTGGGGTTGGAATGCTCTAGGAAAATATAAGTTCTAAGATATCAAAATAAAATTTTTAATTCATTTTAACTGATTAAATGATAATCACCATTTGGGGCAGAGGGGGAAGAATAAGATGTGCCACCAAATGAAACATTTGATTTTTTTATTTTAAGCAATGCCGAAATCAACATTTTAGAGCATAGCATTTCAACCACTTTGGCATCAGTTGGCCCATACAAAGTCTAACTTTCCAAACTGCTATTAGACTGGCTACAATTTTGTTTCCCAAAACACCAGACAATAAATACATGTCCTTTGAGGACTACCTATCTATCCTAAGAAAGACCTAGTCCAGAACCAGAAAAGAGAAAAAACAGTGGCATCAACTCCAAGTGGAACAGAACAGGGCAGACAGAGGGCTGACAGAGCAAAGGAGAACTCAACAGCCCCACTCCCTGCTGCTGGCCCCTGTTAGCTACATGTTCCGTGTGGGTTAAAAGACTTGTACATCCACTTTGGACTTAAAGTGCACAAACTACTGTCTCTGGATCACAAGACAGTACATGCCAAGTGGTTCTGTGCAGCCCTGTGGCAGCAGAAAGACTGCCTATCCTGCTAATCTTTTTATTAGTAACTTTAGCTCAGAATGAAATTCAAGATCCTCCAAACAAAATTCAGGGGGAGCCTACGCTCCCGGGAGATCACCACATTCCTGCCTTGAAATTGTCCAGCTGTTAGCTTACAAATTAGTTGCTGGCTGCCTGTCACCAGCTCCCACTAGGAACAAAAAAAGGGGGAAGACCTTTCATTCATTCATTTATTCATTCTTGGTTAACACAGCCCTGGAAGGGATTCCTACGCTGGGAGATACTGCCCCCATTCACCTTTCACCAGAACTGCAGAGGGTGCCCAGTACCTGAAGTTCAGTCCTGAGCTTCACTGAAGACCCAGTCGGTGAGAAAAGGAAATCCCGGGGTAAATAGATTTTAAAGTCAGAAGCAAATAGTGCTGAGCCCTAACACGACCTTTCCAAATTGTACACTCTGACTGGGTCGTGGGAGAGGGCACACACCTGCCTATATATACACCCATTAACAGTACACACACACACACACACACACACACACACACACACCCTTGCAGCTCACAACAGCTCTCCTGCAAACCCAAAGGCACTTATTATGGGAGGATGGAGCTGCCAGCAAAGCTGCCTCCCCCCCCAAACAACTCACTCTCTCCAACTTGGGCAAGAGCGAATGTCCACCGATAATACTTCAAGGGGTGCTTTTTCCCTGGGTCCGGGTCCTGCTGAAATCCCTGAGCCCTGAGCTCAGCTCAGTTCAACTCTACTGGCCTCACAGCCCTCTTCCTTTCTCTGAAACACTCAGATTTCACACGATTCCTTTCGAGGTAGCTCCAGTTCCACGCAGGGCGCGCCCCATCCCTCAAGGCTGGAGCCCGGGGTTGCCCAGCCTCGCTCCCTCCCGGGAAACTTCGCAGTCTAACACACACACACACACACATACACACACACACACACACACACACACACACACACACACACACGCTGTAGAGAAGTAAAGGTGATGGGCGGGTGGTTGGGTCTGATGGAATCTTTGGAGCCGGTGCCGTAAAGAAAAATGAGTGGACCCAGGCTGGTGCATGCCTTCTCCACGTGGAGGGAAGGAGGAAGGAAGAGTGGGCGACCTAAAGGTGCCCCCCTCGGTCTCAGAACTCCAATTTCCTGGTGGGATAGGCGACAGAGGGGCTACAGTCCTCCAGGAGGCAGCTGTTCGGTGTCTCCAGCCTGGGCGCAGCCAGACGCGAGCGAAGCCTGCATGCCAGGAGGGGCTTGGGCGCAGATAACGTTCCGCCTGGCGCCTGCCAGGGACAGTGCCCCCATCTCTGGGTAGGGCTGCCAGCCTCAGAAGACAGGAAAGGAAATCTGGCTTTCTAGCAAGGCCCTGGGGTGGGTTCCTCAGCCCTGACGGCGCACGCCCACCCGCAGAGCCCCCCCTCCCTCCCCTGCCCAGGCGCGCCCGCTTCCCTCGCCCAGCGCCTCCCGCACCTGGATGTGGCAGGAGATCTCCGAGTCGTCCAGCAGCCGGATGGTGCATTTCATCTCCTGGCTGAGTGATTTGGTGCTGGAGCTCCGAAAGTGGATCATTTTCATGGTCCTCCTGCCTCTCGGCACACAGTGGCAGGAGGCGAACATGCACCGCGGCCCGGGGGAGCGAGCTGGAGGCTGGGGCCGGCTCGGCGCTCACCCTCGGTAACGCACACGCTGGAGCAGGCACAGTCCTGGGCACCTGGATGCCACTCAGCCCCGGGACAGCAGTGGCGACAGGCGCCTGCAGCCACACTTGCCGGGCTCGAGCGCAGC